ATAGCTAAAATGAAGTTAAAGGATAATTTGTGATTTTCAGTGGTCTCTGCCACCTGTCCATTTGAAGAGATACTGAAGAGTACACTATGTGGCTTTAGTTGAATATAACATACTCCACAATTTAGTTCTGTGGCTTTAGCACAATGCTAGGTGAGCATGAAGAATAAATTTGTATTTCTAGATTCACTGAACAGTTCAGCACATTAGAAAATTTCAGGGTCTGGGGAGAGTGGTAATAGTGATGGAGAGCTTATAGCTCTCTTGAATTAAAAAAAATGTCTAAAGTTGAGCAGATATTTAAAGGTGGAATGTCCATATATGCATATACAATGCAAAATATTTTTTCCACTATGCCCAAAAGTTAAAAAAATCTACAAAAATAGAACTAAAATTATTTTTATTTAGATGATTTATGAGTTAATTTGCACCTGCCCTGAAATTAGGAAACTTGTAGTGTTAAAAAATATTAAATTATTGCTCAAGTCAACTTCAGAAGCCATACCAATAATCCATGCAATGAAATCCAGAGACCTTTTAAGCATAGGGCATCCATTATGGTCCAGCCACCCTTCTTCTCCCTCCCCACCCAGAAGTAAATGAAAAAGAAAGTTAAAAATAATTTGAAAATGATTTATTGTGGGCAACCTCTGTACTTAGCGATTTGAGTATTATTACTTTTTTTAATGCACAAGGGAGGACAGTAACTTGCTGTGGGCAAAAGGTAAATTATGATCTATTGCAAAGGAGGACGGAAAAGCACCATGAAGAGAATGGTTTGGGAATGAACGTATGCTTTATATGGCGTTACTTCCAATATCACTCATTTCTAGGAAACTTCTTGTGAAGAGCAGAGATAAAATATGAAATGGATCAATTTTTGTGAGTCATTGAGAAAAATATGGAATTCAGTATAGGAAACAAGGTGGACCAATGTGGGAATTCAGGCAGCTGAGAGTCAGAAGTTTCTTGAATTTCAGATTATCTAATACACTGTTGGGTGGTCCTATTTTGTGACTGGTTGCTTTAGTAAACTGAGACCTGGAGCCATTAAGAAGGAGTCACGCTGATGAGCTACTCTCCTTGTGTGTTAAGGTATGTACATTGTAAGTGTATTTAGTTCATTGTAAATCAATCATGCAAATGACCCCTTCTCATCAGTAATAGATTACAGCAATCTTCTGAGACAAGGATAAATTTACTACCTATGGAATAGAAAATGCTATGTGTAATCTAATCTGACCATTGAAGTCAAGAAATATATTTTGGGGATGGAATTATTTTGTTTGGCTGTGTGGATTAAATTAGGACAAGGGTAGAACAAAAATCTCACTGGTCTGGGGAACTTGCAGGCAAAGAAACTCCCTTTACCAATGCCGGGTGGGACTTTCTCCACCATTTATAGTCTTAGTTGCCTAGGGCACCGAAAGTTTATACCTTTTTGCCCAGGTTCACCCAGCCAGTATATTTCAGAGGTATGATGAACTCAAGCCTTCTTGCCTTCAAAACTGGCTGTTTAGCCACTGTCATGATGACTAAATTAATCAAATAATTATAAATACCTCCTCTTCAACAAATCACATTTATCGAGCATTTATGTTCAGCAGCATGTTAAGTTTTGAACAGGCTAATGAATGAATGGATGGATGGATAGATGAATAAATGAATTAATGAAAAAAAACACTTATTAAATGCTTACTGTGTGGGAGACATGGGGCTAAATACTGATGATACAAACATTTTATGACAGATGGCTCCAGAGGAGAGAGTGAGGCTAGTGACTTTGTACAGCCCTCCCTCACTTAAATCCAATTCACTTGAAAGTTATGGCATCACTTTCCTGATGTCATGATTCTCTTTGAGAATGATGGACAAACTACCTGTGAGTACTACTAGCTGCCCCACTGGCCAGTCCCCATTGAGCAACTCCTTCCTTCCCTTCTTCCTTCCTTCCTTCCTCCCTCCCTCCCTCCGTCCCTCCCTCCCTCCCTTCCTTCCTTTCTTCCCCTTCCCTCCTTTCCCTCTGGCAACATAGACTATCATACCTTTACCTGCAGGTGCTTTTCCCAAAGGAATATAAATTTGATTGCTGAAACTTTGCAAGATATCTTGGGGTTTACAAGCTACATTTTTTCTTAAGAACCACGCCTTAAACCCATATCACTCTAGCTCTCATTGACTGGCCAACAATAGGTCCCAGTCCAAGTCTCACTTGGTCATTGTTTGGCCATTGATGGCTCCAAGAGAGTGTAAATAGTAATTGTTTCTCTTTTGGCCAGAAACCCTGAGGGCCTCCCCCTCCCAGACTGATTTTTTTTTGAACTAAGTAAAAGAGGCCATTCTTTGCCTCATTTTCTTACCTAGGCTTAATCACTGAATGGGCTTTGCTTCAGTCAAACAGACCTGGGAAAGACCTTAACTTAAAAAGGGCAAGGCCTCCCACTACATCCAGGGCCATCTCCATTCATCCTGATCTATATCTTGCCACTGGACCCAGGAGGCTCTGGAGGAGAGTAAGGTTGGTGTCTTTGCTTAGCCCTCCCACTCTTAAATCCAAGTCACTTGCAAGTCATGGCATTACCTTCCTGATGTCATGGATCCTCTTCAAGAAAGAAGGACAAACAATAACAACAACAACAGCAACAACAGGTATTGCTTCCAAGAAGCTTTATATTCTAATATTGGAGACAAATATAACACATATAAAGAGTGATGCCCAGGGAAGGCAAACTTGGTTTGTGGAGTTATAGGGGAGGTGAGTTGCTATATAGGTCAGTCAATTGACATACCCTTTGCAGAAATAATGTTAGATTTATTTGTTTGCTGTGTCCAGAGCTAGAGGGGAGTAATGCTGGGGATACAAGCTTGAGAGAGTGGGAAGAGAAGCATTGTGTAGTCTAGGGCTGGCTAAATATGGTGAGTTAGATGAGTTTGCACTCCCTCCCTCAATGAATTCAGATCAGACCCAGGATGAGAATTCCAAAGGTGAATCCACTAACTTCTGCAGGGACTTAGGACATGTTTCAGAATATCCAGTGTGCTTTTTGAGAAGGTCATAAGTGGAGGCAGTACTAGGGCTTTGTAAAACATATCATCCGTGGACCTGTGAGTGGCAAATTTATAGGGGGGTTGGCAGATAAGACATTCACCAACAGAACAAGATACTCCATAACTGATAAGTTGTGTGAAATAGACATAAATTGCTATATAAATTCAGAGAGGGAAGTCAGGAAGAGAGAGAACAAGAGCAACTCTGCGAGGTAGGTGGAAGATGAACTCACCATCCTGTATCCTTCCTGTTTGCATTTGTACAAGCCTTCCTCTGTGCCTGGAATACTTTCCTTCCTTATCTCTCTCTCTCTCTCTCTCTCTCTCTCTCTCTCTCTCTCTCTCTCTCTCTCTCTCTCTCTCTCTCTCTCTCTCTCTCTCATAATCCTTTGATTTCCTTCAAGGCCCATTTCAGGTTCCATGTGTTTGGTGAAGTTCCTGATGAGTGAAACAACTCAAGGTAAGGAAGGAAAGTAGGCAGGATTGATCCTGATGTGTATTTGCTTCAGTGAAGAGGGTGCTTTCACTGAAAATTAATTTGGACAATGGTAATTGGACAATTGGTATGGTAACCAATTACAGAGTATACGAAAAACCAGGCAGAAGAGTTTCTGCATTGTGGGTACAACCTTGACATACTTTAATATGAATTTACATGCTCCAAAGTCTTAGGAGTAGGGAGGGTTGAAATGAAATTTTAAGGTTGGCATAAACCTTAGAAACATTTTTGTCCAGTCTTTATGCATCATAAGATCTAGAGTTTTGAGAGATCTTGGAGACCCTCTAATGCAATCTTACCATTTTTCATATGAGAAAAAAGAAAGCTCAGAGCGACCGAGAAATTTGAGGCCAAAGTCAGTGTGATATAGTGAAAAGGGAAGTGACTCTGGAATCAGAGCACATGAATTCAAATCCCACCTCTGATAGTTACTGCCTGTTTAATTTTGGACAAGCCACTTCATCTCCATAGGCCTCCGTTTCCCCATCTACCAATTAGGGAATTTGGCCTTCATCATCTCTGAAGTCCCTTCTGGTTCTAGATCTACAATCCTCTGATGCCAAGTCCAGTTTTCTTTTGAATGAGCTAATGCAAACTTCAAAGGGAAAGTGCTTTTCAAATCTTAAAGTGCTAGAAAAATGTGAGCTACTATTATTTTTATTAATATTCCCACTACGTTATCTTTTCTCTTCTATGCCACTGTTGTTACTCAGTCATTTCAGACTCTCTGTGACCGTATTTGAGGTTTTTCGGGCAATGATGCTGGGGTGGTTTGCCATTTCCTCCTCCAGCTCATTTTACAGAAGAGGAAACTGAGGCAAACATGGTTAGATGACTTGCCCAAGTCACATAGCTAGTAAGTGTCTGAGGTTGGATTTAAATGCAGGAAGGTGAATCTTCCTGACTTACAGGCCAGCTCTCTATCCACTGCACCACCTAGTTGCCCAGCTCATTTTATAGATGAGGAAACTAAGGGAAACAGGGTTAAGTAACTTGCTCAGGGTCACACAGCTAGTAAGTGTCTGAGGCTAGATTTGAACTCAGGAAAATGGATCTTCCTGACTTCAGGCCTGGCACTCTATCCACTGAGCCACCTAGCTGCCACAAGAACCAGCCAAAGCCATTGCTGATGGCACTTACTTTATTACTTCATATTACCCGTACCTTTCCATTTCTGTCTTTATTTTTTCCATTTTCCCCCTCCATCTCTATTTATGATTAAGAATAACTGCATGTGGTTTTACTTTGGCTTATTTTTTATGAGGAAACTAAATAGCGACTGTGTCATTTTTTTCAAATGTATCCAGCTATTATGACTTAAATATCAGAAGACAAAGGCATTGGTAAATAAATACTAGTATGGTTAAAGTATTTTTAATCTCATTTAAAGAAAACACTTTGTATTAACCATTTTATGAAAAGGTTCTTATTGGTTTTATTACCTGAACTGCTTTAGGCCTAATGCCAGAGGTGAGCTTCACATATCTACGGACTGCAGCTCAAGCCAACGATACCATGTTAGCCTTAGAGGACCCTGTGGACTGGCATCCTGGGGAAGAAGTTGTCATTAGTGGAGTCACCCTGGAAGGTTCCCAAGGGCAAGAAGAGGTTGCCATCATAGACAGTGTGTTTGGTGCAGAACTCTATCTTAAGTCACCTTTGAGGTAATATGTTTGGCTTGATATAGGACTTGGCTTAAAACTTAAGTTGGTCTGATGTAGATGAAAGATGGAGAAGTCACAGATATATTGGGAGGAGGTCTTGTCTTTCATTAATTTAATTCTATTCTAGTTAAATCCTTCTTTGATAAAAATGATTTAACCATGAAACACTCCATGATAGCAGTGGTAGTTGTGGTGATGATGATGGTGATAATGACAATGATGATGGTAATAATGGTGATAATACTTTTAAAAATAGACACAGCATGATATAGTGAATAGAAAGCAGCCTTGGACTCAAGAAGACCTGTTTCAAATTCCATGTTCAAGATATACAGGCCATGTGGTTAAGGGTAAATCATCAGTGTCTCTAGTAATGATCAATTAGTTACAGAATAGGGTGCAACTATTCTCTATTGGCAAAGGGAGTTTCCTAACTGAGTTTTCTGATCCAATGAAATCATAGGTTTTTTTTAAACTGAAATTTACATAATATCTTAAAATTTGTGAAATGTTTTACTCATCTCATCTAAGTCTTGCAAAATCGGGTAAGGTAAATATTCTAGTATTTTAAAAATACCCTCATTTTGCAGATGACAAAACTAAGGCAAAAATAAGTAACATGTTGGAGGTAAGATTTGAACCCAGTACTTTCTGGTTCTATGTCCAACATTTTATCCACTATGCTAGGATGAATCTCTAGATGAACATCTTTCTTGACTGAGTTACTATTGTGTATGATAGCAAACTCTAAATTTTAGTTGTCCTATTAATAATTTATAAAGTACAGGTCCTATTCATGATATACTACCCCAAAGCAGTATAAGTTAGATACAAAGGGGAGAAAATACAGTCTTTGACATCAATAACAATAACCTTTGCAGTTTGATATATTCTGCTGTGCTTCTTTTTGTTTCAGATATTCTCATGGCTTTCTAGAACATAATATAGCTGGGCATCACCTTGCTTTAAGGGCTACAGTGGCTCTACTCAGCAGGAACATTGTCATCCAAGGAAATCTCACCAGTGAGAGGATGGCACACCTTGATCTGTGTACTGAAGCCAAGTTTCCAGAAGGTAAGGGAGTCTTCTGGTAACAAGTAATATGGAGCGGAAAAATAGTGCCAACATTGTAATGATATTATGGAATCACTAGGTTTGAAGTTCTTCTAAGTAGGGATAACGTTGAAGCACGTCTATTCTTTAAATTGCATTAATTCTTTCCCTAGATAATATATAACCTTTAAATATTAAAGTCTGGAAATTGAAGTTCCTTCCATTTTCTTTATTCAGATACGTGATTTGATATTACTGGAAGCTGCCTTGGGTAAACTCTAACCCTTTTGTTATATCATTCCTGGTTCCCTAGAATGTTACAACATGGGACTCAGATTCATTTCAGCTATTAAATTCTCTTACATTGAATATGTAGAAATCCCATATGCATTTCTTATATTTTATGAATGTTTTGTCTAAAAAATTGGTAGGATAAAAGTGAGAATGGAATTGTGAGACAGGAGATTACTTATCCCAAGACAAATAAGGAAATAGTAAGAGAAAGCCTAACTGTCTAGTGAATTCAATCCGCCATGCCCAGATGAACAATATGTTAGGGTCCTAAAAAATTTGGCAAATGGCATGGCTGAACCACTGTCAGTGATTTTTCTTGCCAGTGATCTTTGTTAACGAAAAAGGTGAGGAGCCATAGGACTAGAGAAGGGAACACTGATCTTTAATTTTTTTTGGGGGGGAAGAAAGTAAGCCTCACAACTATAGACCAGTGAGGATCCATGGAAAATGTTTAGAGCATAATTAATACAAAAGGGATAATTATAAACATCTAGAAAAGGAAGTAATGATCACACAAAAAAATAGCTTGGCTTCATCAGGAACAACTCATGCCAGACAACCACATTTCTATTTTTGATTGGGTTGTTAGACTGGTAGATAAAGGAAAGGCTCTAGCTATAGTTTACCCAGAGTGACTTCAGTAAAGCATTTGAAAATGTTCTTGATGCCACTTTTATGTAAATGTTGGAGACACATGGGTTAAATGATAAATAGTAGGGTTAGGTGGTTTCAGAGCTGGTTGAATAACTGCATAGTAAGTGACTTGATGCCAACTTGGAAGTAGGAGTGACCTAGTGATCTGTGCTTAGGCCTGGGCTATTTAATGTTTTTGCTACTGGCTTGGTTAAAAGTGTCCATGGCATGCTGGTCACATTTCCAGATGAAACAAAAGGGATAGTTAGAATAATAGAGTGAGAATCCAAATAGATTTCAATAGATTTGAATATTGGGTCTAAGATAATAAAATAAAATTTAATTGGGACAAATGTGAAGTATTACACTTGGGTTAAAAAAGACAACCTCACACATACAAGATGAAAGTGTTAAGGCAGGAGAAAAGATTTTTCAAAAAATCGGGAAACAAAGCCAAACCAAACTTTTAAATCATTAGAACAAGGCAAGAGTGAAATGTTCCCCATCACTTGAAGTCTTCAATGAAAGGCTGGATGACCATCGTTGGGAAGAGTACAGGGTAGACTTTTATTTTGGTACAGATTAGACTAGATGATCCTTGAGATTTCTTCAAAAATTGATAATCTCTGGTTTTGTGAACATGACTTAAGTAGATGGCAGGGTCACTGGTCTTGAACCATATTGATGCCCTTGCTAAGCCCACAGATTGTTAATAGTTTTGTGTGTCATGGATCACTTGGGCAGTGTTTCAGGCTTTGGATCCCTTCTCAGAAAAAAATGTTGTTTTACAAAAAATATGTAAGGAAGGAAATGCTTGTTTTGTTCTGTTAATTAAAAATAAAATAAATGGGCAGATGAGAATAATTTGTTCCAATGGTCCTGAAGGTGAAGGTGAAGCAGATCTGTGCAGTACGTAGAGCTTGATCAGTCATTGAAGATGCTAAGGTCATCCATTGCACCTTGGCCATCACCAATTGTCCTGACTTTTGTCTTACCACTGGACTTTGACTCTGGAAGAGAGAGTAAGGCTGAAATAACTGAGGCTGACATGTAACTCTGCTTCACTTAAATCCAATTCATGTGCGAGTCAAGATATCATCCTGTGGTATCTTTGGTCCTCTTCGAAAATAAAGGAAAAACAACAACTACCTGGAAAAGGTTGAGAACTAATGGATTATGTAGTTATTGAGGTTAAGACCCTGTTTGATCTATGAGTATGACCAATTTCACAAGGGGAAGCACTAGCTCTGGTTATTTTTAATCATATTTCAGGGTTTCGACCCTAATCTTAAAAAAAAGTTTTCAAATCTAAATTATTTTTAACTTTAATTTTACAAAGCACTATGTGTCCTTCAGAACTACTGTGCATGAGCATGAGGAACAGCAAGATAAAACGGTGACAAGGTGTCTCTGCTAAAAAATATTAGGGAGCACCAATGTGAGAAATAAAAATTATAGCAAAAAGCATTAAAGTACAAAATATTTTATCAATATTTTATTGCTAGCCACTGGATTATCTATCCCGTATATATGTGTGAATGACATTACTTTAGTAAGCTACACATAGTAGATATCTGAAATATGTTTGTTAGATTGGATTAAGATGGATTATTCCAAGGTCATGAAATGATAAATTCAGAACTCTAAGGAACCTTAGTGATCATATTGTCCAAATCCCCTCATTTTTTTTTATAGATGAGGATACTGAGACCCAGAGAGGAGACATGACTTACCTAAGGTCACAAAGAAGGTAGCAGAGTCCTTTTTCTAAATCAAGTCCTGAGAAAGTATAACAGGAATGAGTTTTTAGATGATCCATTTTTTGGGTAATAATTGTAATTTATTATTAGCATGTGTAATTTGGATGATAAATATTTCAAATTTGAGGTCATGTCTCCCTACCTACAATCCTGGGCCACAAATCCAATGAAAGTGCCAATGATCTTGAGAATCCTCATAATGAACTCAATTCTCTCTTCCAGGTGGGAGATGCTAGCCACAGGTACTTCCAGGAATTGACCAATCAACAAGCACTCATTTTGTGCCAGTCGCTATGCTAGATTTTAAGAAATATAATGACAATGGAGAAATAGAACCTGCCCTCAAGGAGATTACATTCTATCAGCATGACCCCTTGTATACATATTGGCATATGTAAAATAGATACCAAGTCATATTCAAGGGCATGAAATTTCCCTTTGGGATACTGTTCGTCTCTAAATACTATTGTTCCTATAACACAAAAAACAGTCATTGTGGTGGCTACTCTGCTGTGCTATACTGTCTCCTTGTCTTCCCCCTTCTTGTCCTCCTCATTGTCATCCTTTTCCACTTACTTTGTATCCACAGTTAGCTGGAAGATCTAACTGGGGAATGTCAGTAGTGAAAACCTAGAAAAACTCATACTGAAGGTACTACTATTTCTCCGGATCCTTTTGCAGTGACCACTGTGGCCTTTTTGCTGTACCATTCTGACAAGACATCTTCCCTTCCCCTACCACAATATCCCCAAATTATAAACCATCCAGAGAGAGGCTAAGACATAACTGATAACAGTAGAAGAATAAAGCATGCTGTATGATAACATATGATAACTACAAGTTACATGATAACTCTTACAATCATCAGTCACGATAAGATAATTTTCTTCAACATTTCTTCCAGAGCTTTTTTTTATCTTTACAGGGGGAAGAGGACTGTGGTTCGATTGAACATGTATTTAGCCTGAATTTGTGGGTTGCAATCTACATCTTTGTTACAGTAATGTGTGTGTGTGTGTGTGCGTGTGTGTGTGTGTGTGTGTGTATGTGTGTGTGTGTAGATGTAGATAGGTAGGTGGTTATATTGGTGGTTATATTTTTGGAATTTTGGAATTTTTGTGGATTTTTGGAAACAACAGAATGAAGGCAGCAATGTGTCCTCCTTATTGAAAGCTTTTAATTAATATTTTACATTGGAGAATCTGCTTCAATTCAAGAAAGGTTGTTAAATTAAATAAATGATAATAGCCTGCCTCTGTACAGGTGTCCCCTGTAGCTGGAGAAATATGACAGGACTTTCTAAATGTTTCAGGTTCCCTTGCCTCTAGGGAAGAAACTACTCCAGACGTCATTTCCCCATTCTATAGACGGGTACTTCAGTTAAGTGAAAAATTAAGAATAGGAGTAGGAATTGAAGTCAGAAATCATGGTCACAAGAGTTATTAACTATGCTATGTTGCCTAATATCTGATGCCTTTGTTCATTACAGTATTTATTTGATTCCAGCTGTCCAAATTAATTAATATGCATGAGTGTCTTCCCTCTTACACAGTGTGGAATAAGCTATGGCCAAACTATGTGGGGTAAAATAAAGTTTTATAATGAGGAAATGATAATACTGTGTCCAACTCCTCCTGGTTCTGACTAGAGTGGAACCTAGCTCCCCTTCATAGTGTATAGTGTATGTGGGTGTGCAGTCAGCCTTGTAGGTTGGAGTGATTGTGAAGAGTCTATAACTGGAGGAGAGACTTTTGGGCCCAAAGGCTTAGTACAAAACTTTATCAAGGTATAGAGTCAAAACAGTCAGAGAACAAGAAATACATAGAAGGGTGAGAGAAAGGCGCATTCATTAATGTGAATTTGAATCCTTGCTCTGGCTTGAAGAACAGTTGCTGTTGTTGAAAAGGCATGTTAATATAGCAGAGTGTGAGATTTGGATTCAGACTACTGGAGTTCAAATCACCTACCACCACCAACCACTTCCTTTCCTGACTTACCTCTGTGGCCTTGGGCAAATTAAAATGTTACTCTTTGGACCTAGTCTTCATCTGTAAAATGGGGTGGGAAGTAGAATTCAGGATTCAGAGGGCTTGGATTCATGTTCTGCTTCTGATGACAGCCTGTGTCAACTTGGGCAAGTAACTTAAGTCCTAGGGCTTAGTTTTCATCCATAAAGTGAGAAGATTGGAATAGATAGTCTTAAGGACCCTTCCAGTTCTAGTTCCTATATGATTCACATTCTGGCTTTTCTTTTCACTAATCTGTGATTTGAGATGTGACCAAAACACTTGGGCCTCAGTTTTCATGTCTGAGTAAAGAGGAAGTTTGAATATATGATTTTGAAGGCCTTTTCAGCTTGAATGCTCAATGTTTCTATAACTCAATGTACTATTACATATTTAGATTTTCTTACATGTATACTCTAGAAAGGATTGTGTTTGTGACTGGAAGGTCACAAACTTTATTCTGGGAAAGTCATGTTGATAATCTAGCCTATACAAGAAGTGAGAATTAGACTCATTTAATCATTCTGACTTCTCTTCCTGAAGTAGAGATGGGAAGGGGAATTTATTTTTGTTTTAATTTCACAAGTGAGCTAATGAAATAGCAACAGAGTTAGGAATGAAGTTCAGACGTCTTGTTTACTATTCTGCATGAGGTTCAGAGCTCCAAGCCATATTTTCTGGGGGAATTAGGCCTTTTCCTGTTCTATTCTCATATACTCGAATTTCATCCATTTGTCCCCATCACAAATAGTATAAATGGTAAATTGTAAAATGGGAATGGCACCCATAGGACTTATTTCTTAGGGATGATAGGATCATAGGGAAAGGCTTTTCACCTTAGAGATAAAATAATCCAATGTCCTTATTCTAGAAAATATAGAAGGAAAAACTGGGAGATATTAAAGAAGCTTATGACAATAATAACAATAATTTAAATTTGTATTTAAAAAATGCATTACATGTATTATATAATTTAACCCTAAAAATAATCACATGACATAGGTAGATAATTATCATTATCTCCATTTTATAGATGAGGAAACTGAGTTTCACATAGGTTAAGTGACATTTCCTCAGTTATATATCAGTAATTATCAGTGCTGAGATGCAAACCTAGATCTTCTGAATCTATCCAGGGATCTTGCCATGATTATGGATTTTGCCACACATTGTGTAGGATGACAAGGTTTCCCTCTAGACAGAACCAGAAGGAATTGGACACAGTATTGTTCCTTCCTAATTAAAAAAATTTTTTTTTTACAGAGGATGCTATCCAGAGGATGAATGCTAAACTGAAATGACTATATGTAAGCCTCTTCCCAGATGTTCAACCCCTCAGGGTGTTCTACCTCCCTTCTTTCATAGAAAGTGGGGCTAGGAACCCTTTAGCAATTTAGAGGATGGGAGCATAGAATAGTGAAAAAGAATACTGAACAGAGAAAAAGGAAACTGGCCCTCATCCTGGCTTTGCAATTTACATAATTTATTTGTCTCTGAAGTTCCTCATGCATAAAGGAAAAATAAGACATTTGGCAACAGGGTATTGTTAGCTGATGCTGTTACATCTTGGAGAGACAGGTCCTACAAGTGATATTGTCCAAATCAGGCATTATACACTGGAAAGAGGCTCTGAAGTCAGGACCTGTATTCAAATCTGGCCTCTGATGTTTACTACCTGTGTGACCCTATGAAAGTTGCTTCACCTCACTGGGCTTCAGTTTCCTTATCTGTAAAATGAAGATTTTGGACTAAATTACATTTAATACCCCATCTAGTTCTGGAGCACTAATCCTTTATTCAGTCATTTTTCAGTCATGGTCCAACTCTTTGTGACCCCATTTGGGGTTTTCTTGGCAAAGACACTGAAGTAGTTTGCCATTTCCTTCTCTAGCTCGTTTTACAAATGAGAAGACTGAGGCAAACAGGGTTAAATGACTTGCCCAGGGTCACACAGAAAGTATCTGAGGCCAGATTTCAACTCAGGTCTTCCTGACTCCAGGCCCAACACTCTATCCATTGAACCACCTAGCTGCCTCAACAGTAATCCTATGAGTCTCTCAAAAAGATGAATACAGGAATCAAAGACTGTATTATTATATCTGTTATTAACCTTACTGGCAGCAGTGACAATGGTGGTGGTGTTGTTACATGTGAAATACTTTAATTATAACTGACATTACATGGTATTTGATGGTTTACAGGGGCTTTACATACACACATCTCATTTGAATCTTAAATTGTGTAGTAGAAAGATGCTCAACTTAGAGTCATTGGATCTTAATTTGAATTCTGGCTCTGCATCATACTACCTACATTAACTTTTTTTTCACCTTGATTTTCTCATCTAGAAAATGAGGACATTGAATTATTTGACCTCTAAGGTCCCTTGCTTATGATCTTATCGTACCTAAGAAATATGTCCTACTGGTAGTGTTCCCATTTTACAAGTGATAAAACAGAAGCTCAGAGTGATTAAATGCCTTGTCTGATCACAGAGCTAATATGTGGCCAAGGTGGAATTTGAATCCTCCTTCTCCTTTTTCCAAGTCTGTCATTATTTCTGGAGCAGCTAAGTGGCACAGTGGATAGAGCACCAGCCCTGGAGTCAGAAAGATTCATCTTCCTGGGATCAAATCTGGCCTCCCACACTTACTAGCTGTGTGACCCTGGATAAGTCACTTAACCTTGTCTGCCTTAGTTCCTCATCTGTAAAATGAACTGGAGAAGGGAATGGCAAACCACTCTAGTGTCTTTGCCAAGAAAACCAAAATAGGGTCACGAAGAGTAGAACATGACTGAAACAACTGAACAACAATGACATCATTCTTTCCATAGATTATGCTGTCTCTCAAGAAGAACTCCAATATTGATTACAAAGAGGTGACACAGCACATTTATTTTAAATTATAAGCTTCCAAAATGAATTTTAAAATGAGTCAGAGAACATATTGATTTACAAAATGCATTTTCAGGGAGTTATTTCTATGGCACCAAGTGATACCTGCATCATGTTTGCTATTGCCAGGAGTGGTCCCTTTTTACAGCAGCAAAGTAGTGCAAGGAATAATTGTCTATTTTGTGACACTTCCCTTTACTGTGTTTTAGATGTTTTCCAGCACTGCTTGTATTTGAGGAGTAAAAAGAATCTTGGATCGGTGGATCTGGGGGCTGTAGTTACTGTGCAGTCATTCCCAGGAGAGCCCAGCCAGGTCCAACTGCAGGGAGTCCAATTTCAGTACATGGGACAAACCTTTCGGAAACACCTGTGTGCACTAAATGTGATTGGATCTATGAAAGGTGAGGTGGTTAGAACTATAATATTCCATTTACTTTTGTTTCCTCACTTCCTTTCTTCTTTTTCACCCTTCTTCCCTTCCATCCAATAGGGGAATAAAAAGAACTGCCTTTTTTGCCCTGATTCTGTAGGCTTATATTACATGCAGGAGAGACAGGTGATCATCAAGGCCAGAAAAAAGAGATGGGGCTCTTGTATGCTTTGATTTCAGCACCACCCAAAGGTCCCTCTGCTCTTCATTGTTGTCCTGATTGACCAACCATAGTGCTGGAATTCCTACTAATATTCATGCCTTTGGGTTTATCCACTGTATCTAAGTTTCTTCAAAATGCAAATACGCATTCCTTGGGAGGAGTAACCCAGGACCTGCCCATTCTTAGCAGACATGCTACAGATTCTAGAATTTCATGACAGCTTGAAGGCCCCTTTCTCTGTGGAAAAGTTACCTTGGCCACACTCAAGTTACTATCTACAAGAGCTGCTACTGGCTGAGAGCTGGAGGCTGCTGTTGAGCTTAGAATCTCTGGTGTTTGAGTCCAAGATCTGCCACTTACCTGTGTGACCTTGGGTAAGTCATTTAATCTCTTTGGACCTCAGTTTCCTCGTCTATAAAATGAGGGGCTTAAATTATATCACCTTTAAGGACTGTTTCAGCTCCAAATCTATGATCCTAAGACCTTGATATATTACTTTTCAAAGTCTGTTGAGCTTTGTACACATTCCAGTGATTGTTCTAAATGTACTAAATGTACTAAATGTTCTAAGTGTACTGAAATAGTTTTCAAATTAAAAAAAAAGTCGCATTCAATTTTTATCATGATTAGGGATGAGGATCTACTTGTCCCTTCCTGGGCCTCAGTTTCCTCACCTGTAAAATGAGGAAGTTGGACTAGATGACCTCTGAGGTCCCCTCAAGCTTTCCGTCTATGATTCCATGATCTCTGTAATCCATCACAGAAAAATCTTTCATAGTATGTTAAAAAAACGGATTTGCATTTCACAAAGCAGCCTACCCCCTTATCTCATATTACCTAATACTATTGAAAAAACCCAACCTAACAGCTATGTCAGTTGTGAAGTCATAGCCCTTACTCCTTCATGAAACCTAAGGAAGTCTTGTCATATTCTAACCAGATTGAAGTCAGGGGGACCAATGATAACTTTTGTAATGGCCACCTGTTCATGGATCACCTACAATGCTTTCCCATCCTCTAGCATGGTTTTCATGGTTTAGTTTTTGCTTTGCGATTAAATTGTGCTTTTTTTCCTATTAACAATTTTGATTCCCACTTCCCTGGGAATTTGTCTTCCTTAGCCAAGCTGAGTAATGTTGTCATTCTCTCTAACTTATCTGTGTCAGTGAGTGCATGATTTTTTATACAACATGGCTTCCTTTGGGTGTCTTTAGCAGAGACTGGACTATAAGAAATAAGTTACATTTCACTTCTAAACATATTCTTTCCATTCCTATTCTAGATTCATTCATACGGAGCTGTTCAGTGCGGGATTCTTTCAGCAGGGGCCTTAGCCTATCCAGGACTTCAAATATCATTGTGGAGAATAATGTATTCTACAACATTTTAGGCCATGGACTACTAGTGGGTAAGTGAAGGAGGACTGGTCATCATCAGCGATACTGAGGAGAACATTTTTTTTTCCTCCCAGTAGTATCTATCATTAAAAAATTCAGATTTTCCATTTGTTCATGTGTTGGCCTCTGGTGCCTACAACCTGCCTGTTGTTCATAGACATGAAATCAACTCTGCCTCCCTCTTTATTCAGAATTCTGGGCCAGCAAATGACCCTATGCAGAGGCTTTGAGTCCAAGGAAAGAAATCCTAATTTTAGGGAGCATCAATTTTATATTCAAATTTGTGTTTATATTTAAACCCACCCAAGCTATTCATTACCTGTGTAATTCTAGGCAAGTCACTTCACCTCTAAGCATCATTTCCCTCTACTGTCAAATGAAATAATAATAACACTCCATGGTTCCAGAAGCCAAGATTGTGGAGTAAGTAGTAAATGGCCTTAACTCTCCCATATTTACGTCCAAGCAACTATAAAAATAGTGTCCCCAAACAAATTCTAGAACAGCAGGACCAGCAAAAAGATGGGGTGAAACAATCTTTTAGCCCAAGAAACTTGTAAGATCAGAAAGGAAGGTCTATCTCATTTGGGTTAAAGGGGAGTACAGTCCAAGACAGGAAGTGATCCAGCAAGCTAGCAGCAAGCCCCACCTCAGCAAACCAGCGAGAAATCCTGAGCCCCAGTCTAGTGGAGCAGGCAAATGCCAACACCAGCCCTTCCCCCCATGTGCCTCAGAATAGTTAGGAGAACAGACAGACTCTAGCTCTGAGAACCGCCACATGCTTCGGCATAGCCCCAAGCAAACAGCAGCCTTCATTAGCCAGACTGCCACGTACTTCAGTGTAGCCCTGGGGAAATGTAGAAACACCCTACCAGACTCAGCATATGACAGACACCAGCACTCACCCCTGGCCAAGTTGCCAGGCCCCTGTGGCCTCCAGCACTGCCAGCCATTCACATCCAACCACCTCAGCAAAGCACAAGACACGAGAGTCCCCTATGGGCCTCAGGGCAACATTAGTGTAGCACCAGGTAAACAGCCAGGGACTGCAGCCTGTGGCACAAGATGCCTGAGACAATGCCCCTTACACACCTGGAGCAGAGCTCAAATTTAAAAGAAAGGAAAAAGGCCAAAAATATGAACAAAAAGAACAACAACAAAAAATAATCTATCCATAGAACATTGTTATGGTGACAGGAAGATCAAGACACAAACTCAGAAGAGGACAACAGTGTCAAAACACTTAAAGGCAAAACCCCAAGGAAAAATGGGAAGTGGTCTCAAGTACAGAAAAAGCTCATGGAAGAGCTCAAAAAGGAGCTTAAAATCTGTAAGAGAAGTACAAGAAAAATTGGGAAAAAAATGGGAGTGATGCAAGAAAATTATGAAAAAACAGCTTGGAAAAAGAAAACAACTGCTTACAAAGTAGAATTGACCAAATGGAAAAGGAGATACAAAAATCCATTAAAGAAAACAGCTCCTTAAAAAGTACTATTGACCAAATGGAAAAGGAAATACAAAAGCTAACTGAGGAAAACAGTTCCTTGAAAGTTAGAAACGGGCAAGTGGAAGCCAATGACTTTATGAGACATCAAGAATCAATCAAACAAATTCAAAAGAATGAAAAAAAAACAAGAAAAAAAATAAAATATCTCATCGGGAAAACAACTGACCTGGAAAATAGATCTAGGAGAGACAATATCAGAATCCTTGGACTACCTGAAAGCCATAATCAAAAGGAGGACCTCGACAACATCTTTCAAGAAATAAGCAAGGAAAACTGCCCTAATATTATGGAACCAGAGGGCAAAATAAGCATTGAAAGAATCTATCAATCACCTCGGGAAAGAGATCCCAAAATAAAAACTCCAAGGAACATTATAGCCAAATTACAGAACTATCACACCAAGGAAAAATAATACCGCATGTGGCCAGAAAGAAATAATTCAAATATTGGGGAGCCATAATCAGGATTACACAGGACTTAGCAGCTGCAACATTAAAGGATCTGAGGTCATGGGACATGATATTCTGAAAGGAAAAGGAGCTAGGACTACAACCAAGAATTACCTACCTGGCAAAATTAAGCATAATACTTTAAGGGAAAAAATGGATATTAAATGAAATAGAAGGATTTCAAACTTCCATAAAGAAAGGACCAGAATTGAACAAAACATTTTGTCTCCAATATCAAGACCCAAGAGAAGTTTAAAAAGGCAAAAAGATCAAGGATTCAATGGAGCTGAACTGTTTACACCTTTACCTGGGAAGATGATACTTATAATTCCTAAAAATTATACCACTAATAGTAAAACTAGAAGGAATATACATAGACAGAGGGTGTGAATATAAGGCAACTTTGAGGAATGACATAAAAATAATTATGGGATGAGAAAGAGGAGTACACTGTGTGTGGAAAGAAGAGAGAGGTAGAATAGGGTAAATTATTTCACGTGAAGAGGTGCAAAAAAACTTATTACAATGGAGGGAAAGATGGGAGAGCGGGTGATGGGCATCACTTGAACCTAACTGTCATCAATATTGGCTCAAAGAGGGAATAATATACACAATCAGTGGAATATAGAAATCTATCTTGCCCGACAGAAAAGTAGGAGGGAAAAAGATTAAGTACAGGTGGGGGGACTGAGGGAAGAGAGGGCAGACTAGGGAAGGCGGTAGACAGAAGCAAAACACTGTCAAGGAGAGAAAGGGTTACACAGTTAGTAATCATAACTGTGAATGGGATGAACTCTCCCATGAAACGGAAGCCAATAGCAGAGTAGATAAAAACTGGAATCCTACAATATGTTGTTTGTGAGAAACACTTGAAGCAGAGAGACACATATAGAATAAATAGGTACTGGGCTGCATCAGAATCTGTTATGCTTCAGCTGAAGTAAAAAAAAAAAGCAGGGGCAGCAATCCTGATCTCAGACAAAGTAAAAAAAAAAAACCAAAACAAAACGCACAAAAAAAAGACCAAATTAAAAGAGATAAAAAAGGAAACTATATCTTATTAAAAGGTACCACAGACAATGAAATGATATCAATACTAAACATATATGCATCAAGTGGCATAGCATTGAAATTCTTAAAGGAGAAGATAAATGAGTTACAGGTTCATGACCAAAAGAGTGCATTAAGAAATGTAAAATAGATAATTTTGGTTATATTAAATTAAAAATCTTTTGCACAAACAAGATCAATGCAAGCAACATTAGAAGGGAAGCTGGGAAACAATCTTTATAGCAAGTGTCTCTGCTAAAGGCCTCATTTCTCAAACAGAGAGAACAGAGTCAAACTTATAAGAGTACAAGCCATTTCTGAACTGATAAATGGTCAAAGGATGTGAATAGGTAGTTTTCAGATGAGGGAATCAGAACTATCTATAGGCATATGAACAAGTGCTTTAAATCACTTTTGATTAGAGAAATGCAAACTAAAACAACTCTGACATACCACCTCACACATATCAGATTGGCTAATGTGACAAAAAAAGCAAAATGATAGATATTGGAGACGAGGTGGGAAAATTTGGACACTAATGCACTGTTGGTTTAGTTGTGAACTGATCCAACCATTCTGCAGAGCAATTTGGAACTATGCCCAAAGGGCAACCAAATTGTGCATACCCTTTGATCCACCACTATGACTACTAGGTCTGTATCCCAAAGAAATAATAAAACAAGGGAAAGGATCCACATGTGCAAAAATATTTATAGCAGCCCTTTTCGTGTTGTCAAAATTTTAGAAATTGAAGGGATGCCCATTAATTGGGGAATGGCTGAACAAGCTTTGACATATGAATGTAATGGAATATTATTGTGAAATAAGAAATGATGAACAGGCAGATTCAGAAAAAAACCTGGAAAGACTTGTATGAACTGATGCAAAGTGAAATGAACAGAACCAGGGACATAGTGTACAAAGTATCAGCAACATAGTGTGATGATCAGCTATGAATGACTCAGCTCTTCCAGCAACACCGTGATCCAAGATAAGTACAAAGGAATCATGAAGATGCAGATTGAAACATATTTTTGTCACTTCATTTTTTCCTGTTTTTTCCCCCCTGATCTGTTTCTTCTTTCACAACTGTGACTAATATGGGAATATGTTTTATGTGATAGCACATATATAACCTATATCAATTGTATATTATTTTAAGAAGAAGAGAGGATGGGGGAAAGAAAAATTTGGAACTCAAAATCTTGTAAAAATGAATGCTAAAAATTGTCTTGATGTGTAATTTGGAAAAAATAAAATACTATTAAAATAAATATATTCAATAAAAATAGTAAAGAAAGGTTAAAAAAGAATAATAGCACCTACTTCAATAAGTTGTTTTGAGGATAAAGTGAGACAGCACATGTAAAACACTTGGTAAACTTCAAAGCATTATATAAATGCTAGCTATTTTATTTTGGTCTAGATGTGATTTCATCTGAATTCCCATTGGGAGAATTCTTGCTGATGCAATATTGCAACTGACCTGTAATTTCAAATCTTAGAATATTTCCTGAAAGATTAAATGATTTAGTCATGATCAGAGAGCTAGTACATGTCATAGGTAGGACTTGAATCTAGGGCTTCCTAAAAATAAGGTTACCTCTCTGTTCAGTGCCCCATACTGCTTGTCAGTATTTCTCTTTATTTAAAGGTCAAATGAATATTTTTTGCATGACGTCACAGAAATATACCAAGTGTTACCTAGGCTGCCAAAAATGAACATTGGGAGTTCTTGAATTCTTCCCTCAAGCCTTCTATTGACTTCTCAAGAAATCAAGTTTATGTTGTAACTCAAATGCATCACATTTTGAACTGAAATACCATAATAATATTCATCCTACACCCACTGTATAGGGAAATGATGGGGAACAATGGGGCAATAACTGCCCAAAGCCCAGTGCCCCCTTGGAGCCAGCTAATAAAAAGGATAGGTCTAAAATGAAAAAGGCATCAGAGCAGAACAAGAGAGCCATAGAATGTTTTGCTGGATGAAGGGTGTGAAGAGATCTGTTTCTAGCTCTTGTTATGTTGTATTTAAATTCATTTAAAGATGCTATCTCCCTTTAAGAATTGGTTCTCTAGATCAAAAGCCAGACTGTAAAACTTGAAGGTCTGCTAAGTGAAATGTTTAATGGGGAAATTTTAGCATTAAATGCAAATTAAAATTGACATAAGCTTGGGAATCAAAGGGCTAAGAGAAAGTTGAGAGAGACATCAAATGAAAGAAAATCTGCCTAGGAAATAAGGAGCAACAAGTAATCACAAATTTAGGTTAGCTCAAGAAGTATGGAAGAATCTCAAGAATAAAACTCTGAAGACAGAAACTTAAATTATTTTGTTGAGAAAGAAGAGGAAGAGGGTATCTAAAGAAATGTTAAACTTACATTGACGAAAATGTTTTTTGAGGCAATTGGAGTTAAGTGACTTGCCGAGAGTCACATAGCTAGTAAATATCTGAGGCTGAATTTGAATTCAGGTCCTCCTGACTCTAGGGCTGGTGCTCTATCCACTGTACCACCTAGTAGCCCCTGACTGAGTAAGAGTTTAAAGATGGGCACAGAAGATGGGAGTAAGGTCTAATCATTAAAGATGAACACAAACGAGAGGAATGGTTTTGTAGGAATACAGTTAAGAGATGTGGTGGATAGGGCACTGTATCTGGAGTCGGGAAGAACTGGGTTCTGACACTTACTACATATGTGACCTTGTATAAGACTCTTTCTGCCTCAGCTTCCTCATCTTTAAATAGGGATAATAATAGCACCTACCACCCACAATTGTTGTAAGGATCAAATCAGATAATATTTGTGAAGTGCTTTCCGTACATTAAACTATATAAATGCTGGTTATTAGTATTATTATTAAATCTAGGGAGGCTTAAGTTCAGAATGAGCTGAACAAAGATAACAAATATTGAGGAAAATGGAACCAGGTCAACAATATTTATGGGTATCTAAAAATGTGATGGATTAATTGTTGTTAGAGTTATTTGAAGAAAAAAAAAGGCATAAAGAATAGGAAAAGTCCTGAAGGAAACAAATGGGCAAATTCCATCCCAATTTTGGGAAAAAAGGAAAAAAATTGATTCTTCAAACTATGGGCAAGTAAACTGGATGTCTATTTCAAGGAAAATTTGAATATGGGTTATTAAAGGGGTGCTTATATTTCTAAATAAGCATGATTTATCAAAAAAAAAAGAGATGGCAGATAAATCTTACTTGCTTTTTGGCAGAGTTATGTTCATTGAAAGTCTACTCTAATGCCAAAAAGTGGTACAGGGGTGACTTGGTGGAGTCTCTGCCAGGAGAGTGTAGTCTCTGGCAGATCCTATTAAGTTAGAAATGTTTTAATTATAGGCTCAGGGAAAAACTTGATATCTGTTTTCAAAGGGTCAGTCTAGATAATTTAAAGAAGCCTATGACTAGAGATTGACTGGTAACTTTTTGATCATAGCAACTTAAGAACAAACTCCAAAACCTTTTATTTGTGTTCATCAATGGAGGGGCTTACCCTGTACCTTGAGGTCACAAGTCATTGATATATTGAAATCCTAGATTGGCTGATAACGGATGTGCCAAAGGCACAGTGTGCCTGGATTTCGCAAGGTACCTGACAGGCTTATATGATAGTCTTGTGAACAAATTGGAGTGTTGTAGATAATTGTAGATAGTTGGCGATAATACGGTTAAGTGGTTTCATAATTGCTGGATTGACTAATGGAGTGCCACGATATTTTTCATTTGGCCCTGTTATGTTAGACATTTGGAATAATTCCTTGGATGGTGTGCTTATCACATTTTCAGATGAGATCAAAATCTTGGTATGGTGGTTAAGCTATTGGATGACATAACTGGAATCTAAAAAGATTTCAGTAGGCTGAAACAATGGATTGAATCCAATAAGTTGCAATTTAACAAGGAGAAATGAGAAGTGCTACATATGTTTTCAAAAAGTGAGCAGGTGCCCACTTCACTCTGCATCAATCTTCACACATTTCTCTAAAACCACCCATATATATATATATATATATATATATATATATATATATATATATATATATATATATATATATATATATAATATATATATATATATATATATATATTAATGTATATTTTGTGTGTGTGTGTGTGTGTGTGTGTGAAGCAATTAAAGTGACTTGCCCAGAGTCATAGCTGGTGAGTGTTATGTGACTGAGGTTGGATTTGAACTCAGGTCCTCCTGACTCCAGGGCCAGTGCTCTATCCACTATGCCATCTAGCTGCCCCCATTGATATATCTTAATGGCATAATAGTATTCCATTACTTCATATACTATAAGCTGCTCCCCATCTCCTGGACAGAGAGGTGATGGACTATCACTACAGACATGGCCATTGTTGGAATTTGTTTTGCTTGACTATGTGTATTTGTAACAAGGGTTCTTTTTATTTTCTTTTTCTTTCTAGTTTTGGGAGTGGAAGTGAGAAAAAAAATGCTTGTTAATAAAAAAAAATAATTAAAAACGAAAAGTCAACTGCATAAATATAAGATGTGATTGGTGTATATAGACAACAGTTTTTGTGAAAAGGTTTTGTGAATTTTTGTGGACTACAAATATGAGCTGAATTTGAGTCAACAGATTGATGTGGTAGCTGATAAAACTAGTGGCTGCTTAGGCTTTATTAATGGAAATCTGATGTGAAATATGTGGGAATTAGCAGCTCCATTGTACTGTGCCCTACTCAGACCACATCTAGGATACAGTATTCATTTCTGGATACACCATTGATGAGCAAGGGCACATGAAACATTGAAACAACTAGGAATATTTATCCTTGAGAAGGCTTAAAGGGTGGAACTGGGGGTGAGTATAACTGTTCTTTCTCAAATATTTCAAGCTCTTTATTGAAAGTAGGATTGGCTGTATTCTGATTGGCTCCAGTGAGAAGAATTAGGAGTAATGGGTAGAAATTATATAAAAATAGAGTTGGGTTTGACGTAAGGGGAAAAATTCCTGACAATGTTATGCAAAAATATTCAGAGGACCTGGGTTCATGCCCTGACTGCCACTTTCTGTGGGTCATTGGGAATGTTACTTAACCTCCAAGGGCCTCATTTTCCTCATTGGACCAGATGATTTCTAAAATTCTTTTCAGCTCAAATATGATCCCTTAGATTGTCATGGTGATGTCTACTGGTGAGTTTTCCTTAATTAGAGAGATTTTCAATCAAAGGATAGGTGATAATTTTCCAGATGTCACCATTATGGCTCAATTACTTTCTCCCTCCCTCCCTCCTCAACCTTCTTCAAGGCCCCTTTCTCTTATTGGTAATTTTTTTCCTGGAATTGCCATTTTGAGGAAGGGCTCAGACTAACCCACTTCATTCTCTGGGTTTTTCTACCAGTCACGTCTTGTCTTCCTTTTCCTTTATGTTTGTATCCTTATTGCTTAGCACATACTAAGATAATAAATGCTCTCACTTTATAGATGAGAAAAATGAGACCCTTGGAGGTTAATAACTTGACTTGACTTGCTCACTTGCCAGGGATGTTAGGGGTTATATGTCATTCTTTGAACTTGTATCCATAGCACCTAGCACAGTACCTGGCACTTAATACTGAGACTTAATAAATTCTGATTAGCTAATCATTCTTGTTCATTCATAATAATTGTTCCTTTCCAAGTGAGATGCTAGTTCTAGATGAAATCTTATTTTTTTTCTTAGTGGTTCTAGATGGAATCTTATTCTTTTTAATGCCTCTGCAGGGACCTGAAGAAGAGAATCTGGAAAGCAGCCTAAGGCATGTTTAAACAGAAAGAAGTTACATAGTCATGAGTAAGGATAGCTGAGGAAGATCTGCAGAGGACTGCAACTCAGAAAGCTGTATATTAGGCCAGGAATTTTAACCACCAAAGAGATCCAAGAGTTAAAGTTTCTTTGTTTAAAAATTTAAAGAGCAAAGAGAGAAAAGACTAAAATGAATAACAGTTTATATTAGGAAAGGGACCAAAGTTTACATTTCTTTAAATCTCTCAATTACATGTCTTATTTAGGAATGTTTTATGCTAATTACATATTATTTCATAGAATAGTAGATGTTATGCTAATGTTTTAAAACTCTAAAGAAATAGGGTTATAAAGCTCCTTACCTATTATCTCATTTGGTCCTTACAACAACCCTGTGAGATTGGTGCTATTATTTTCCCCATTGTACAGATGAAGAAAAAAGTTTAGTGACTTGTTCAGGGTCACTGAGCTAGTAAATGTCTGAAGCTGAATCTGAACTCGGAACATTCTGATTCCAAGCCCAGTGCTATATCCACCATACCACCTAACTGACTCCTGGAAAAAAAAATGTAACTAAGTAGAAAAGTATAATCTTCTTTATTTTTTCAATTGCCCATATCTGTGTGAAAATTAACTGTACTATGAAGGACCACTGAGATTCCAGATACTACTGTTCACCTGGTGGCAGCTTTTAAAAATTGTAGAATTATGCATCCTAAACTTACCAAATCTGACCCATAAAGTAACAGGAAACAGCATGAAGTGTTGTCTTCTTTCTTGGGGGTGGTTCATTTTTGGCTCTTCCTAGGAACAGGATGACAATAGTGATGATTACTTTGTACCTCTGTTTCAGTCATCTCTCTGTCTGTCTCTCTCTCTCCCAGTTTCAATGTTTATGATCGATGGGTCCCTGAAATCTCAGTTTTCCTGTGTGATTCCTAAACTTAAAAACATTAAAAAAAAAAGAAATATGGTTGGTATGTCTTGTTTTGTTCAGTGGCACGAAATGTGCTGCGGTTACACTGTATTTTTTCCTCAGGGACTTACATGGAAATGAGACATCTCCCTTGGAAGGCTGTCCCCAGAAGAAAAACTGGTAAATAGATGAATTTGTTTTAAATATATTATAATAAATTTAAGATGTCATGTATTTTACAGAGCAAGCCGATGGCATAATGTATAATGCCTTAAATATTCTTAAATATGCTCAGCACAGTTTGTCTATATTCTGTTTATATTACATACCTATATACATATACATATGACATATGCATATTCCATGTGCTCTGTGAGACATATAATCAGTTAGTAGATTTAAAAGGATTTGACCAGTCAAGATTATTAATTATAGTTCTAAAGCTTCTACTTTTGATTTCTTTCTTTTTGTGTGTGTAGATTTCTCAGGACAGGGGAATATAGTAAGAAACAATGTGGTAATTGGAGTTTTTGGAACTGAAGGTCTTTCTAGTATTGAGGTATTGTCACCAGCTGGCATCTACATCCAAGATCCGACCAATGTTGTAGAGGTAAGGCCATAAGCTCTGTTAAGAGGAGGCATGAATTCCCAAGAGGCTCATTTGGAGAGTAAATTCAATTGAATAACAGCAGTTGTGAGAAGGAATGGAGTTGGAGTTTGTTGCAAATTAGGGCAATATCACCAATTAATTGTCAATCAATTTTCCTGTGGCTCACATTACCATCTCTGTGACTTCCTGGACCAGAGCATCTTACCATGGCCACTACTCCTTCTATGTGCATTTCCTTTCTATATTAAAGTACTCAACACATACTTTGGACTTATTTCCCTAACTTCCGCTTGTAATGTTAGATTTGGTTCCCAAAGCTTAGATGACGTATCTCCCTTTAAGGTTCTAGAAATAGTCCTGAGGGAATTGAGGGTTTTTTAAAAATTGTTTTTTTGTTCTATAGGTCGCAAACCCCCACCACTGTGTTTCCCCAGTGATTATTAGTCGATGTTGTTGTTTGTTTTTTGTTCTTGAAGAGGACCAATGACATCAGGACTGCGATGCCTTGATTTGCAAGTGAATTAGATTGAAGTGTGGAAGAGCTGTGCCTTACTCTTTCCTCCAGAGTCATCAGAGTCCAGTAACAAGACATAGGTCAAGATGACTGGCAATGGCTCCAGTTGCAGTGGGAGATGATGGCCTTTTTACAGTAAGGTCTTTCCCAGATCTCAGTTCATCTGAGGCAATGCCCATTCAGTAATTAAAGGCTAGGGAAGACTTGAGACAGAAGATGGTCTAGTTTGCCTTCACCTAATCAGGCAGTAAGGCATTATTGCTAAGGATTAGTAAGGGATATTTGCAAAGGTGATATAGTAGTTGGCACAAAACATCCTCTGTCCCCAAAATTTGTGACAAATTTTCCCACAAGTGTATGTAGAGTCCAGAGGAAAGAGGGCTCAAGATTAGAGAGTCTAGTATGGCAAAGTGACACTGGCAACATCATGGTTCTAGAAGTATTTTTCTTTCCTCCATGAGTCTTCATGATGTCCCCTTTAGGTATAGTGTAACTTTCTGCTGGGCTCCTAGTAGAATACTGAATTTGCCCTTTTTCATTATATTCAGTCTATCCTTGGCTCCCAGTGCAGTCTCTGCCATCCAAGTAATCTGCTAGGATGTCAATGGGAAGTTGGAAAGGTCCCAAACTTCCAGACCTTTGGAAGCTCACAAGGTCCCCATTTGGCCAAGGAGGGAAGGAGGGGAGACACAAGCTGATGCAAAGATTCTTTTACTCCATTTCTTCAGAAGCAATTTTTTTTCATAAGTTTGACTGCAAGTCTTTTACTCTAAGATTTTAGCTGCTCCAAATTCACTTCCTGGTTTAATACAGTCTACACAATATAACCAGTATCCTATTAACCACTTCTTGGGTGGTCACATTCAACTTCATCAGGTAGCTCTTAAGAACTTTCAAATTTCCAATTCAATTCAATTTAATAAACATTTATTCAACACCTACCATATTCCCAGGCACAAAAATTAAACAATGCCAAGCAACATTATTAAAGTATGCAACAATTAAACAAAACCAAACAAACAAATTAAGCAATACCAAATCTCCAAGGAACCAGTTAATATTCTATTGGAGGAAACCAACATATATAAGTATATAGACAACTAAATACAAAATATTATCTTGGGAAGGGCAGAAGCAACTGGGAGGATAAGGATTGCCTTTCTCTTGAAGGGTGCATTTGAACTGAACTTGGAAGGAAGCTAGAGAGCTACCTTCTAAGAGGTAGGGGTGAGGAGCAAATGCATTACAAACATGGAAGGAGGCCTGTGCAAAGGGACAGAGATGGGAGATGGGGTGTTTTATATGAGTGATAGCAAGTAAGCTACTTTGGCCAGAACAGAGAATGTGTGAAGGAGAAAAATGAGCACGAACCTTGGAAAAGGGGGTTGGAACCAGATCATAAAAGGATTTAAAATCCAAACAGTGATGTTTGTATTTTATCTTTGAGGTAAGGAGTAGCTGCCAGAAGCCTCTTGGTTCCACTTTGGTATTTGGGTTTGTAGTGAGGGATTGTAGTAGATTAATAGGCATGGTTTTCTAGTTTTTGTCTACCTGTGATTGAAACATAAGGATTGTCCACGAAAGGGTTAAACCAAAAAAGACTCAGAATCCTTCCCTGAGATAGTATTGTGCCCGTTGCTATAAAGCTAGTGAAGTTTCTGAGTAGCAGAGAAAATGAGCTTCTTGTTTTCCTTCTCTGTTCTTAATCGTGTGTTTTCAATTACCTTCAGCTGAATAACCCTTAATAAAAGTTGTGGTTATCTCTTTAACTCTCCTCCAGACTCTTAATTATGTTTATTCCAAGTACAGCACTTAGACACCATTTTAGGTACCTAATGGGGGCATCTAATATGCTTGTAAAGGAAGCAGGCAGAACTGCAAGGGTCCTAGGAAACTGAAACTCATGGACCTGGAAACATTTGTAGTGCTCTGAGTTTGTAATATACTGAGAGCATGCTGTGCTTTTATTTGGACTCAGTTTGGGTCCAAGGGCATCCCATTTTAGGATGCTTTGTGAGTCATTGGCTATAGAATCTTGGACATATCGAATGACATCTGAGTCACAAGAAAGAAAACCCCAAAGGTGATCTCTGTAGCACATCCTTCTGTTTCTAGGAAGGACCATATCTATGCCAAGCATTGCATGGTAACATGCGGTTGGTAATATTGGATCATCTGTATTGAGCAGCAGTACTTTTTGGGGCAAATGACATATACTGGCACACAGGGAAAGGAAAAGGGACGAGTTGATAAGCCACAACTGACAAAAGCCGATTGGGTGAAAAGTTGTTCAGTCAACTTCGATTGATGTTGACTGACAAGTTAGGCAAGACCCAATCAGCAGTGGCAAAATATTGACTTAGAAATGGCTTGTAGAAATGGTCAAAAGCATTTGATCTTACAGCATACTTTACATTTTAGATATAACATGTCCTTCAATTTGGTACATATGAACAAACAAGCAAACAATTATTTACTTCTCTCTGCATTATATTTGGAGAATAAGCTTGGATTCCAGCTTTGCCACTTATTACTTATGTGAACTTGGACAAGCTGTAGTCCCTTCTCTGGACTCAGTTTCCTTATATACAAAATGAGAACTGATGATCTCTAAGGTCCCTTCCAATTCTATATCTACTATGTTAAGAAGCCCACGAAAACACTTTTATCTTCATTATAACTTGGTCAGCATATTCTTGTTTTTCGTTTCCTTTTCTGGCTCTTGTAATTGTTTCAATATCTAATTTTCCCTCTTTTTCAAACTTGTGACTTCTGCAAACTTTTTTTGTGTTTTTACCTTGTTATTGTAGCATTCTTTACTCTCTCTCCACACACCCATACACACACAGTGTATATACGTACATATATATTTGTTCATATCATTATGTAGTACATCATTAAGATATATATGTATATTTTAACTTATGTCCTACTATTGGTATGTGTGCTTAGTATAAACCTGAATGTGCTTTAGCCTCATTTTTTTTAGTGTTATAGGAATAATGAAAAAAAAAATCTCATCTCAGGGAGTAAGGAGGAGAAGAATGGAGGGGTAGAATTTGGAAGTCAAAACTTACAAAACCCCAACAAATATTAAAAAATGTTTTACATGTAATTAGGGAAAAATAAAATATTATTTAAAAAAGAAATACAAAAAAGATCTAAATAAATTGAAGGCTATTCATAAAAAATAAAACTGTGGTAGAAAATTGGAAAAGAAAACATGGATGTTAAAATTATTTCAAAAAGTGAAAAAAATTGCTATTTGTTTTTAGATTGATTAGGTTCTGTTGAACTCAGTGTTATATTTTGTCCAATCTGTTTATGTTTTCAGTTTTTCTGCATTCTCTATTATGTTGTTTATCTGTATTAATGATGATGGCTTCCTGTTATGTGGCTGGACCAAAACCAGGTGATATTCATCACAGCTGGACTTAACTTCAATGATGAGACAATTTCATCAGTATGGGCTCTAATAAAGCAAATTGTAACTTTTCCATACCTTGGTATGCTTTCCAGCATGGTAGGGCCTATTGGCTCTGCTGCCATAACCTTTAAGAACCCAGAGTCATTTGCATTTGAAATGCACTTTACAATTAAATCAATAATAATTACTAATTGCTAAATCCAATGACCTTTTTTAAATTTTCATCTTTTTTGACCTCTCTGTAACATTTGATATTGTTGGTAATTCTTTCCTTTTGGGAACTTCTCCTTGGATTTTCATGATATTATTTTCTAGTAGTTTTCCTTCTACTAGTCTGACTGTACCTTTTTAGTCTACTGTGTTGGATCATCCCCCATGTTCCCAAACCCTTTTTAGTTATGTCCTGTAGGGATTTGACTTGGGTCTTCTCAACTTCTCTCTTAGTAACCTCATCTGCTTCCATTGGTTCAATCATCTTCTCTGTGCTGGTAACTCCCAAATCTACATATCTGTTCTCTCTCTGAGCTCTGGTCTCACATCACCAACTATCTATTGAGCACTTCTATGTGGATGTCCAGTAGACATCTCAAATTCAACACTTATGAAATAGAACTCATTCTCTTTCCCCCCAGTCCCACTCTTATCCCAACCTTCCCTATTTCTCTCAGAGCCACCACTTCCTTCTAGTCACCCAAGTTTATGACCTTGGAGTCATCTCTGATCCCCCAGTATCTCTATCCCCACATATACAATCAGTTGCTCAATCTTCTTGATTTTACTTTCATAATAGCTCTTGTATCTATCCCATTCTCTATTTTCATGGTTACCATCATAATTCAAGCCCTCATCATGTGTCTTCTAGACTATTCCAATAGCCTCCTAATTGGTTTTTCTGACTCTTGTCTCTCCCTTATTCAACTCATCCCCTCCTCACCCATCACCTTTCAAAGTGACATTCCTAAAGCACAGGTCTGACCTTATCTTTTCACTATTTTTCTAGACATTCCATTACCTCTAGGATCAAATACAAACTCTGTTGCTGGGCATTTACATCACTTC